TCCGCCAGAAGAGTCGCGCGGGCCGCTGTAGTATAGGGTGAACTGGGAATTGGTCCCCGAGCTCCGTTGTCCGTGATTCGGACTTCGGTAAGTCAATAGAAATCTGTGTTGTACTTATAAAGACTGCATGCCATCAGACTTTGGGTACCAGGCCATTGGAGCGTTAGCATATTAGCATCCAATACCAAGAACTGGTTCTCGTTTCAGCGGTCCTTCTCATTTCTTGTACTTGGTGCTCCGGACTTTGGTGTCCTATCCTCATAACGTCTACACACAGGAGTCTGTCGTTTATCAATTGACTTCCCGACTCTGACCTATCGTTAACTTTTTTGAACTCGCATATCCCTTCTCTCATCAATTTTCGGTTCCCCTCCACTTCTGCACAAAAACGACTAAACTCACCTTCATTTCTCCTCGTAATTCCTAACTCTGTTCAAGTATGTATTCCCCAGCTCCACTTAATTTATCCCTCTAGACTCAATATCCAGTCACCTCAGCGAGACTCGGCCTTCCTTTTGGCGGGAAAAAAGCGTCGTCTTGATGCTGATTACGATGACGAGACTTCTAGTTCTGAGTTGCCCGATACCAGTTCCACCGCCCGATACTCCTTCCGAGTCTCTACATCAGCAACAGGTGGGGTTGAATTCTCGAGCGAACAAGACGGCCAGGGTCGATGGGTTAAGCTCGTAAACTCCTCTGATGAGGTAATTATCCCGTGACATGTTGCCTCTTTTCGTAATCTCTCTATCTTTGTTTAGTTCTCGAATCCTATATCCGCTTGGTCCCGAACTTTTTTGTCTGAAAAAAGATGTTCCGCCTCATCCCCCATCTTGCTGGCCTTTTAGAGTTTCTGTTCACGGGTTAAAATTGATGTTTATTCCACTTCTTCTCGTCTAGGACATCACTCTGGGCAATTGGGTCCTCAAACACCAAGCCGATGGCCGCGAATGCAGCTTCAAATTTCACCGTTCCGTGACTCTAAAGCCTTCTGCTACCTGCACCGTGAGTTTGGAATGTCTCCCCTCATGCTACGCACAACTACTCATGCAAAATGCTGTATTTACCGTCATCTCAGCCCTGTTATGGACTGTTTTCTGGGGTTTGGCCACATAATTTATTCTTGTGAATTATTGTATTTAAGTCCTTGTCTGGCATATGTTTTGGCCAATTCGCGAACTTTTTGGCTTCTAATTGCAAACTTCATTATATCGTCCCTTTCAAAACCGATTCCTGTCCTCGCAACTTGTCGTTTGGGACAGATATTGAACAGCGACGGTGGTCTAGGTGTCATGTCTTTTGTCCCTTTTAACAAATAGCGGTACTCGAGGTGAGCCGTTAGTTCGAGGGGCGGGCATCAAGACTCTCCTTTTCAATGGATTTCCAATAATTGGAAGTTCGTGGGGATCCACTCTTGTTGATTCGAAGAAGTGGATAGTTTCGACAATCTTGAAGCTAAGCAGCTACCAGACGGGTGTTCGGCGTATTTCACGCTTTTATACACACAAGGCTTTATTTCCGACCTTATCGGAAGAACTACCACTGCTGCCTTCTTAGTAGTTTGACCAAAAACTGCCCTGCCCCCGTCTCAATTCCATGCACCAATGTCAGTTCACCGGGGCCGGTCGACAAGAGCCCACTTCGGACAACGCATAGATGTCCGAATGCGCGCCCACTGGCCCTCTGCAAGAAATTTCAGCCCTGTTCTGATAATCAGATATCAAACTAAGACGCCAGTTTTTTCGCATTTCTTTACTGAATACGCTCAGTCCTCCCGGCTTTCATAGGCTAACCGAACGAGATCTCTACCTTTGACCTTACGCAGATTTCAACGCGTACGCATTAACCCGTCCGTGACGTCCTCTCACACGATCGCATTCTACGAACATTAGCCATACCCTCCTCCAGTGTTTAAGCGACATAATTTAATCCAGTTTTTGCCTTCTGCGCATTTACATTCACGGTGCCTTGCACCTCATGGGCAGTTTATTTGCGCCCCCAACCGCTGTAGTCGTGTCTCTACTGCTGTTTTGGGATAATCTTGCCACTATTACACCTCCTGACGTGGTTGGTTGAGTTGACTTGCACTTCTGTTCGCACGCTGACTGGGCCGAATCAAAACGGTAAAGCAGATGACATAGCGTACTGACGGAAAACTAGCACCTACTCCAAACTGGTGTTGATTTACCTCAATTACCAACCCCTCTCTCCCTCATCTCCTTGCGCGTCAGCATCGTGTTGCTGGTTTTTTGGAGAACTTACTATCGTACAGAGCGCCCCAACTGTCGGCGTACTCAGTAAGACGTTTAGCCACCCCGTTGTCGCAGTTACTGTTAAGCTCCGCTGATGGTTTCATTTGAATATGACTGTCTTTTTGTCCTCAGATATGGAGCAGTGATGCGGGCGCCACACACAACCCACCCAAAGACATTGT